CCGTGTAAAGCAGTGCTGTAACAATGGTAACCCTGTTTGTTGTCTTCATTTCCCGTGTAAAGCAGTGTTGTAACAATGATAACCCTGTTTGTTGTCTTCATTTCCCGTGTAAAGCAGTGTTGTAACAATGATAACCCTGTTTGTTGTCTTCATTTCCCGTGTAAAGCAGTGTTGTAACAATGGTAACCCTGTTTGTTTCATAGCGGGGTTATTATTGTTACAGCATTGCTTTACACGGGAAATGAAGACAACAAACATGGTTATCATTGTTACAACACTGCTTTACACGGGAAATGAAGACTTAACCATGTTTGTTGTCGTCATTTCCCGTGTAAAGCAGTGTTGTAACAATGATAACCCCGCTATGGTAACCATGTTTGTAGCCGTCATTTTCTGTTTTTTCAACAGGTTGATTTTAAATTCATACAGATTGCCAATCGATACATAATACTATAACTATTGGGTTAATGACGCCAAAAGTGATTCGACGTGCTATGGATTTCTGTTTGATTAAAGTTGTCAACGTGTGCTTGATTTTTTTGTATTTAAACATCCTTGACAAGGTTCATTGTTCTTAATGCTTTCTGACTGTAAACATACACAGAGGTTGTTCTAAACTGTGTACATTTCAAGACTAGAATAACAAGTACAGGAAAAGTATAAGCTGTTCTTTGACCAATAACGTTCATTCACCAGATCTGTTTAATTCTTCTGTTCGAATGGATTTTTGATATTTGACATTTTTAACCCTAGGAGACAGATGCCACTCAGCAAGAAAGACCAGATGACTATAGAGAAGACTCCGAGTTATTACGTCACACCTGAAGTGCCGGCACGTGTCTACAATTTGTCACGTCACATAAAATTAATTGTCGCTGTGCGAGACCCGGTGACTCGAGCTATTTCTGATTACACGCAGGGCGTTAGCAAACAACGCGAAGCCAAGACATTCGAAGAAATGGCTTTTTTAAATATGACCACCGGTCTGATAGATACTTCGTGGAGTGCCGTCAGAATTGGTCTGTACGCCAAGCACTTGGAAAGATGGCGTCGGTTTTTTCCAGCCTCTCAGATACACATCGTCAGCGGAGAAACTTTGATCTCAGACCCGGTAGAAGAAATGGCTAGAGTACAGGACTTCCTGGGACTGCCACGACTGGTGGACCAGACGTATTTCTATTTTAACGAAACTAAAGGCTTTCCTTGCATTCGTAAAAGTCGGACAAAATTTCACTGCCTGGATAAAACGAAAGGACGAGTTCACCCCAAAATCAACCCGGCTTTCTTAGAAAGACTGCGGGATTTTTTCCGACCTTTTAACTTGAAATTTTATCAACTTACCGGGAAAAACTTTGGCTGGTCTTAAATGTGCAAGTGGTCAAAATATATTAGGGACGTCTTTCTGTGATAAAACTGGAGCGGCTTTTGTAACAATGGCCGAGTTTTGTATAGAATAAATATCCCTGCTCATCTCAGACGTTAACACATATAAACTGCTAATGTTTACAAAATTACGATAAACATTACTGCTAACACGACTTTCTATCAGACAGTCAAACCCCGTGTTTAAACAAACATTTCAAAACAAGTTCAACAAACTTACCATGATCATCAACCTTGTTGTCAGCGAAGTGCAATTCAACCATGTAGATCATTCAGTCCATGGTTATTATCGTTTTTAACATTTTAACTCTATATTTTTAGCGTGACGAGACAACATCTTGAAGATCATTAGTCCATGGTTACTATCGTTTTTAACATTTTAACTCTATATTTTTAACGTGACGAGACAACATCTTGAAGATCATTAGTCCATGGTTACTACCGTATTTAACAGTTTAACTCTATATTTTTAGCGTGCCGAGACAACATCATGAAGATCATTAATCCATGGTTACTATCGTAACATTTTAACT